TTTGAGGCTTTTAAAGCACTTCTTTCTTTCTTTCTTTCTTTCTTGATAAACCTCTTCCAGTGGGGCAGATCATAGTCATCTTGGCTACTCTTGGCATAGATAGCAATGAGTCTTTAAGCCATCAATCTGGCATCTGTGAAAAACAAAATCTCTAGTTAGACAGATCTTTGAACTCTTCCCAGTAGACTCTTCTTATATGCTTAACCTAAGGAGCTGAAATTCTGAATGGATGGTATTCCAAGCTTTTCTGTGTTTTAAGTTTTATTTGTAGAAACATATTAGAACGAAGTGGTTTGTGTGAGATTGGATATGAAATTCTGAGTATGCTTTTGCTGTCAATGAGTGATCTTGAGCATGTTTAGCATCTTTCAAACAAAGGAAAATATGTTAAGGATATTACTTTTTAGCAAGTTTGTCTTCTTTTATAAATATTCTCATTAAGAAACTACTGATAAACTTGTTGCACTCAGAAGAACATATTTTGAGAACTACAATTACAGATTACCTTAGTATTGCATTAAATATAATTGGTAAGTATTATTTCAGATCTGATGAAAGAATGTTAAGAGTATTAACAGTCATTTAAATAATTAAACAAAAAAGGCTCATGAGATTCTTGTCTGCATTGTTATTTTTTGCTTTTGTTTTACAAACTATGTTCTTCTTGTTTTATTTTATTTTTCTAATATAAAAAAGGGACACTGGACTGAAATGCATAACTATTTTATATTATAAAATGATGATAGCGTTTGGGCACTAAGTGCAATTCATCTATGGCAGGAATGCAAATAAATTTCATATCAAAACAAACGGGAGACTTACTACTCTCCCCATCTTCTGTGTAACACCTGCTTAGACTTTTAATGGAACTTTTTTTTTTTTAGCTACACTAAGTTTTTATTTCTCAAGGCTAAATATTTCCAGTTCTTTCAGTTCTCTGAAGAGGATGTAGTTTCTAATTCCTAAGTTACCCCCCTCCAGATTTTTTTATCTTTTTTAAGTGCAGGGATACAGTCAAAACTGAATACATATCTTGAAATGTGGGTAGCCTAGTGTGGAATAAAGTGGGAGTACTACATTATAGTTTTGGAAACTATACCTTTGTTGATGTAGCCTAAAATTGAACTTAATGTTTCTGCAACCAGATGCTATTGACTAATGTTTGGTTGTTGTTTTTTTATAAATATTATTGCTAAGCCACATTTCCAGGCTCTTTGATGCACTTGATTCTTGTTCCCTAACAGGACTTTGTAAAGATTGAAATTTTATTTCAGTCTTCTAGGCAGAGGTTCTCAAATACAGTAATCCAGCATAATGAATGAGTTTGCATAACCCAATACATGAATAAAACTAATTATTTCATTTGGGTTAGGATTGGGCAAGAAATAAAAATACTATTTATTTATAAAATAACTCATGTATCAAAAAATGCTAGAACTTCACAACTTAGAAATCTGTCTCATTTGATTTTTGAAACTGTTTTTTTTTAATGTCCAGGATAAATTTGCTTATTTTTGAAGCTGAAACCAAGCAATATTTGTTTAGATATTACCATATTTTCAAATAAAATAACACATTTTGATATTATTAATTTATGAGACAAAATACAAATACAGGCAAAAACTTAATTCCTATACTGATTTTAGTTGGTATGTGGATCAGATGATTATGTTGTTATAACTTACTCTCTCCCCACTTTTAACTCAAGAAAGTCCAAAAAAAAAAAAAAAGAATAGAAATGGATGGTTTTTTTCCTGAGCTTTTACTATCATAAACTTCTTCCTTTAAATCACCTGCTCTTAAATACTAAAGCTTGCAAACCACTACAGCCTTTAAACTGGGTTTGGCACTCTTTCCCCGTATTGTTGCAGTACCATAAAGTCACTGCGTGATCATCTATTTCCTTTAGCCTCTGATACTTGAAAATCTTTTCCCCTATTCTTGAACTTCCTCTTCCCTGTACTCTGATATCTGCCTCTTTTCTTCATTCATAATTTTAAGATGGGAATTGATGGTCCTGCTCAAGGCATGATTATTCTTCCTTAAAAAGCCGAACGTAGTGGAGGTGGGTGGGGGAAACCACAAAGAAAACAAAAAACAATCTTTATATAGGTTCTGGAAGTATAATATTATTTTTTTGCTTAGCAAAATTTTTCATTGAAGTGGCAAGCCTGCTCATGAGGAACTTCTGAGAAGACATTCTCTCAGGAATCTCCCAATCCATGATCTTACAACTCCTCAAGGTTTTTGACAAATACTTTGAGAAGCTGTTGTAGAGCTTTATATCATCAGCAGATCTGATAAGCATTAATTCTTTCCTCAACCAAAAATCACTGAAATACAGGACTGAACCTCGTTACACTCCACTCCTGAGTTCAGTTTGATCAGTTCATCTTGAAGCAGATCTGTTGATGTTAGAGCATGATTTTTGATTGTTCTATGTATTTACTTATTATGGTTATACTTAAGTAGCTGCTAATCAGAACAGCATGAGGCATTTCACCTACCCCATTGCTGAAATATATTACAAAATATATTACATATGCAGCTTTGCTATAATCTACTAATGAAAAATTAGATATAGGTAATCTGGCAAGAGTAAATGATTGATAAATCCAATGTATTTACCATACTTTTTTCAAGGTGCTCCCAGATATTGTCTGTTTTACATTTTTTTTACAAACACTGTGGTTAAAAAAAGCTAGGAAAATGTATTTAAGCTTTTCTTCTCCAAGATGTGTCTTTGTTTTTAGGGGACATTTTATTTAATTTATAAAGAATTGCAATATGGAGGGAGAGGAAGCTTTTTATTCAGAACTTTAAAAAATATATTAGATAATTAGATATAATACAAGGTTTTGCTTCAAAAAAGGGGCAATAGGAATATTTTTTGAGAGAGAAAAAAAGAAAGCCCACTTTGAAAAATAACCTTATTGAGGAAATTATTTGTATCCAGTCAAGATCAAAATAAGAACATTTCATCTAAACTGTAGGCAAATTCTAGAATTTAATAAATAGTTTGGGACTGAAGCCAATCTCAAGAGACTGGAAACTTGCTTGGACAACTGCTTTTCAAAATTATGATCAACTCAGATTAAGAAATTCTTGCTAATGTTAGTGTACTATGTCTCTCAGCTAAAATTATGTCCTGTTTATAAAGTTAATAAAGGAGCAAAACATCATATGTTAGGAGGTAAAGATATCTGAGAGTGTGGGGGTGGCCTGGCATCTGTTCCCTAGGGCAGTGATGGCGAACCTTTTAGAGACCGAGTGCCCAAAACCCAGCCCTGCCTGTCCCTGTTCCACTCCCGCTCTGCCCCCCCTCCACCCCCAGCCCAGCCCCACCCACCTGCAGGGCCACCCGCTGCCTCCACGGCCCGCCGCAGATCGCCCAGGTGGCCCTGCAGCACCATGGTGGCCATGGCCTCTGCCTGCACCCCACAGCATCATCTGCGCATAACGGGGCACAAGGGCGGAGTCTTGTCCCTGGTGCCTAGCTGCCATGTCCTTGGCTGCGCTGCTCCATGCTGGCTGTGCTCAGGGGCGACTCTCCTCCGGGGGGCTGCTAGTGAGGAGGGAGCCACGGGGGAGGTGGGTCTGGGGCAACGGCATGAGTGCCCACAGAGAGGGCTCTGAGTGCCGCCTCTGGCATGCGTGCCATAGGTTCGCCACTACTGCCCTAGAGTTTCTTAGAGAGGCCATCACCACCAGGCCAATCCCCCATTCCATTGGACTGTCAAAATGATTAGTGCCATCAAATTCCTGCAAACACCAATTATCTATGCAGGAAGTCTAAAAATGACTAAAAACACAATTTCAATAGTTTTATTTTTTCATCTGCATATGAAAGTCACTTCTTACATGACTGCAGCCTGCCCCTATGCCTACCAAAGCAAATTGACATGTTTATGCCAATGCTACAAGGTTTCAATTTTATATATTTTGTATAAGAAGACATATAAATGAATGAAAAAAATGGTTTTAGTGTTATCCTTGGAGGAGGGGGTTACCATGTGCTTCTGTGTTGAAAGGAATTGGAATATAGCTGCAATGGAAACGTTCACTAAGATTCACAAAATATTAAGAAAATGGAAAAATGGGGCAGTTTTATTATGGCAATTATTCCATTTACAAACCTATCTGCTTGGTTTGGCTGTGGGGCAGCTCATTGTAATAAAATGTAATAAGAATATTTCCCAACCAAGAAACATTCTGTTGTTTTGTCCTCGTGGTGCTCTAAACCCTAATAAAACAAAATATGAAATACTATTCCATTGAAATTAAGAGAAAAATGCATTGTAGATAGAAATTAGCATGTGTTATGAACCCAGCCACCATGAAATTTTGTTGTACAAGTTTATTTTTTGCTTATATTACTACTATAATCATCATTATTACTATGATCCCTTGTACATGGAATAGTCTTCTAGCAGTCTATTCTTATTAAGTTTCTACATATAGCCTAGTGATAATGTACTGCAATCTTGAATATTACTGTCACTATTATGGTGATAATTAATATTTCATAGGTGGAGATAGTAAGATTTCATCTCAGTGGATCAGCATTTCAAGGGTTTGAATATTCACCATGCGCCCGTGCCTTTTACATCTTCAGGGGCCATTCTGCAGGTGTCTTGTTATTGCTCTCAAAAATCAGATGGAAATTTGGGCGGGACAATATCTTCCTCTGTGTTTCATAAAATAACAGGTCAAACTTGTTCATTAACAAGAGGAAGTGTATAATCAAGATGTTAATTCTGTGAGGCTTTGTGAATCTGAGAATTGCAAAATTTGGATGTGTCTTCTGTTTTGCTCCAGCTCTGCTGACCACATTAGTGAAACGGAGGTATGAGAATAAGAGAGAGGCAGAAGAAAAAAAAAATAACCACACAGTTAATCCCATGCAGCTCTGCTAAATAGTTGTGGGCGTGTAGGTCTTCCTTTAAAACTTGCTTTTAAGGACTTCATTCTAATTTTTCTGTTTGCTTTTCCCAATCTAGAAAGTTCAGAGAGAAGGCACATCAGAAGTGAAATGGGGACTGAGCGGGCCCTTGTCCTGGACCGCTTAGCAAGCAATGTTGCCAAACGAAAACGTTCCATGCCACAGAAATTTATTGGTAAGGATGTTTTTTAATGGACTCTCTTTTGGGTATACTCATTAAAAGCAATGGAAATATGACATGGTTCTTCTTCTTATGAATGAATTCATAAACTTGCATTTGTTAGGCAACTGTAATGTATCAAATAAGGAAGAGACATTACTGTATTTCCTTCTTCCCTCTTTACAATGACATGAATGGATTTATGTATATCCCAGGCTCGAGCAGACCAGCCTCTGAAATATACAGAGCAGAGATTTCTGGATGATATATGACTCTTTCAAACCACAAAGCATTATACTGAGAATTGTCACTGATTTCAAAGTATGTCAACTAGTCAAGGCAGCTGCAATACAAAAAGATCCTGTTACCAAAGTATATGCAGCTACTTCAAGGCAAATAGTTATATCTCTTTTATCTTATATGGGGGGGCATTCATTCTTCCTCCATGAAATAGACATTATAATAAATATTTTTAGCAAAATTGGTTTAAGCTGATTTCATTGATAAATATTTGTGAATTTTCAAAAGCTGAGCAATAAGTCTTTTGAAATATAGAATAAACTGCCCCAAAAGTAAAACATCTCATTCTTTACCATTGTCAGAGAGCAAGATGAAGCAGGTTAAAAGTAAAGTTAATGCAGAGACATTCTGTTTATTGATTAAGAATCATTTTCTACTATTTAATAATTAGATAAACTGAATATTGATTCAGTAGGGAATTTTTTAAAATAAATATTATGATTGTTAGGTCACATCAGTTGTTTGTACAATGAAAACCTATTGATTAGCACGATTGTTTATAATAAAAAAATATCATTGTCAGTATTAATACTGGCTTTTAAAATATGTTTATTTTAATGCAAGGTATTTTAGGCATCTGATAATTATATTGGGAGAATTTTAATGAGGGTATGATTTGTTGAACTATAACTGAAATAATTTGTTGAAAAAGAGAAAAAAGGCAAAAAAAAAACTAAATGAAGAAATATATATTTTTTTGCTTTTTAATTTCTAGGATTTGTAATATTTCCTAAGAATTTTATATTATCAAATATGAAATAAATTGAATATACAATTCATAATAACCACACTATAAGAGAGAAAAAACATTTTTAATTTTGCAGGCCATTTCAAATCAAATATATTTCTCAACTGGAAAAATTGGGTGGTTATTTAATTTCTCAGCTTTTTACCCAACTTGATAGGAGCCTATTAAATATTCTAAGTGCGGATTTTAGTACAATGTTAAAGGCTTTGGCTATTTGTTTGGGTAGTTTTTGGTAGCAACTTCATTTAAACTTTGAAGATTCATTAAAAACCCACTGAATCATAGACATACATCTTCCAGAGTTTGATTTAAATGACATAATATAAATCTTTACGCACTAGCCCTTAGAACTAGATGGAGTTTTCTACCTTTAACCTCTGATTTTGTGTATCATTCTATTTCCAATCAGAATAGAAGGAAACTGTCAGAATCCAATTATATTTCATTTCTATCTACCTACTTTGATAAAAAACCAATTCTTACTCTCTTCTGGATTCTGTCATATTACGGAAGAGGGTAAGCATGGGGGTTTTATGACTCCCACTTCCTTCATTAACTACAAAGTGACCAGATGTTGATTCTCTTCGAAAGGACTAACCATAACAATGCGGCCATCGCTTTTCATCCTAGTCTCTCTGAAGTTCTCCCCTTTGCCGGCAGTGAGGGAAAAGGTGGGGGGAATGCAACGCCTGGGGTCTGGGAAAAGAGAGGATGAGTGATCGTGCTGACGGAGCGGACTGACGGATTGAATCACCTGGAAGAACTGTGGGGTAGGGGCTGCTTGGGGACACTTTAAAACATTGAATGGTGGGAGAGGATTCCTCAGATCCTGTCTAGCATGCCTGCAATCAGTTTCTCTTAATAAAGATTCCTGTTGGAAGAGACATTCCAAGAGTTTTGTCTTCTTAAGATGTAAAGTGAGGTGGGTCCTTACAGAAACATTGTTTTCTTAAGATACAAATATGTACAAACCTTTTCTTCCCTGCTCCCCACCCCCAAATTAAGCCCACCACAATTATATAAATAGCTCTATAATACTATATATTTATCTAAAGATCTTACAACTATAATTCCTTTTTATTGTTTCTGTCTTTGTCATTGAACTAAAAAAAAGTTGACCTAATATTTTTCCTCTGACTTTGCAAAAATGAAGGAGGAACAATTGTTCCCCTTAACCGCAAAGACCTCCCTCAGTCATTTACATCAAAAGCTATGCAAAACTGTTTGGTGGTGCCATATATTAAACTTCAGACATGGTTCTGTGTAAGAATGTGTTTATCAGAGTGTATTTGCAGTGACACAGATTTTCTGCTGTGCAAGCTTCATTGCAAATATTGGAGATGAATCCAAAATGTGATAGTTGCAGAAAAAGGAGATTATTTGGAGAACTGAAGAGATTCAAAGTTTGACTCAACATTACAGGTTTTAATGTTCTATACTTAATCAATAACTCTTCCTCCAGCAGAGGTCAATAAATCAAAGCATTTGAAGGTAGAATACTAGATCAGGAGAACCCACATACAAACCTTTGATCTGCTATGAACTTCATGTTGTGAGAATAAAATATAGAGAACCACTGCATCCCACCCTAATCTTGAGGAATGATGGGTATAGAGGGATGGGTGCAGCAATGCTGTATTTTAAACCAGTGATAATGTGTATTTTACTGTGGCAGGTTACAAGTACAGAGCCTATAAGGTACTAAAGGTGATCCTTGATTTACCACAGTTCATTTAGCGACTGTTCAAAGTTATAATGACACTGAAAACAGTGACGTATGATCGTTTTTCACAGTTTGGATCTTTGCAGCGTCCCCATTATCATGTGATCAAAATTCAGATGCTTAGCAACTGGTTCATGTTTACGACCATTGCTGTGTCTCAAAGTCATGTGATCACCTTTTGCGACCTTCTGACAAGTGAAGACAATGTGGAAGCCAGAATCACTTAACAGCTGTGTTACTAACTTATCAACTGCAGTGATTCTGCAGTGAGGCAGATTCTAATAAGTGAGGCAAGAAAGGCTGCAAAATGGGCCAAAAAATGGCAAAACTCACTTAACAAATATCCCACTTACCACCATAAATGTTGGGCTCAGTTTTAGCTGTAAGTTGAGAACTACCTGTACTGTGTACCTCTCTAGCTGGCCTGCTGTCACCTGAATGCTGAAGCAACATGATTCCTAGCTTTTTATTGAATGCATTTTAATTTACATCTGATTGCATTATTTTTCTTTTATTGCATCATTTTCTTTTCTATTATGTGCAAAATTTAATAATATAATTGTCATGCTGTTCAGATCCAATTGATAAAGAAGAACATATAGTGGCCTAGACATTGCTAGTCATCTTGTCTATTGAGCAGAAATGTCAAAAATCTATTTAATAGAATCTAATCTGGTGATCTAAGTAACTTCTATAAAAGGAAGATCATTTTAAACCTGTTCTCTATTTTTCCCACTGCACCTATCAGCATTTTCTGGTACTTGCAAACATCAAACTTTTGATTTACAGTCAGTATAAAAACAAGATAAGATATCTGTAAAGACTACAAAGCCAACTTCCTTCTTGGTATAATTATCCTAGAGAGTTTTTATAAAATAAGATAAAGACTAATATAAATTAATATAAAGTGAGAAAAAGAAAAGAAGGAAAAAAATCAAAGACAAAACTAAAAATAAAAGAAAATAAAGAGAAAAATAGAAAAGTATGAAAATAAACCATACAAAAAAGTAGCTTCTGATTTTCTTCACAGCAGTTATAAGTATAACAACGTGAATTTTCCTCTTACTTTATGATTACAACGTAGTTGTCTTCTTTTTCTAATTTATTCTGTCTAATCATCAAAACCATAAATCACAAGTTCATTTTTTCTCTTTCATGCAAGGAGGTCCATAAGGGGTTTCCAGTTATCAATAAACATAAATATTATCTTTTCTCTGATCAAATAAATGAATTTGTTCATCTCAGCTACTTCCATCATCTTCTCCATCCATTCCTCCATTGTGGCTGGTGTCAAATCTTTTCATTTATGTGCATACAATACTGTAATCTTGCTGCAATTCTAATGTACCAAAACAAAGTTCCATGACTTTTTTTCCAAGTGTTTGTTCATTAATCTTGAAAGAAGAACCTCTGGTCTCAATTGTACATTAATGTTTAAAATCCTGTGAATTAGTGTATATATCTGAATCCAGAATTTTTTAGCTTTTTTACAGGTCTACCAAAATGTAAAATATCTGTTCTTGTTGTTTGTATTTCCAGCATAGGTTTGGAATGCCTTTAAACATTCTAGACAATTTCTCTACTGATATATACTAATGATACATCATTTTATACAAATTCTCTTTAAGATTATAACATAATGTTAATTTCAATCCTTTCAGCCATATATTTTCCATTGCTACAGCTGCATATTATAACCAAAAAATTAAGGCCACTTTACCTGTTTTCTTCTGTTTCAAGTTTCAATAAAAATGTTATACATTTTAGCAATTACATGTACACAATTCTATTTCAAGGTCAGTCTTACAATCTTCAAAATCATAAACTCTTTTATTTACTTTAAATCTTTTTAATAATTGCAAATAAGGAAACTATTGAAAACTATATCCCTCTGCCACCAGTTCTTTTCTTGATTTTATATTATATTTCTCTTGTCCAGATTCTAGTATCTTGTGATAAGTTAGCATTTGCCTATTATCTCTTTATAAAATGCCTCTTGTGCTGACAGTCACAAAGGTATTTCCAGGCATAACCTGAATCTCCATATTCCATATTCTCAATATCATGCATCCAATATAATAGTTTTAAAAATCCCTATTAACCTTGACTTTATTGTGTCACAAATATCCATGCCACTCACATCTTAGGTCGTATACTTCTCTTTCTCATCCAGACCAAAAGCAAGCTATGAAATACAATCTCAAATCAGGTCTGCCAATCCTCCTTTCTCCTTTGCATCTTATA